AAAAGATCTTTTATTACTACTCCTTGGCAAACATAAAGCTGTGGCTTAAATTCAGTAAAGCCTTTTTGAGCAACTGAGCTCTAAATTGGTGCAATTCAAGATTTTGCTATTTTTCAGTCTATCTCATGCAAGGTTACTAAAGAAAAAATGCTAATTAATTTTAAAATAAAAAGCTAGAACTTTAAAGGTATTTACCTTGAGACAGGGCATAAGGCAAATTTTCTGTTTTTCCCAATATTTCGTCACTTCGACCACACTATTCTTTGTACTTCCACTCACCTTGAACAGAATGGAGGATCACATAGGGGTATATTTTCCAAATCAGGCTGTTTGGATAATCATAGTTTTAACAAAGACAATCCCTAACATCTGTAGAGTGCATTCTCCACAGAGCTGCCAGGGTTGTTTTACTCAGTTACTAAGACATGTTCTTAGCAAGTTACTGCCTTGCTTAAAAACGTTTGATGAGTCTCCATTGCCTTTGTGCTAAAGTTCAAACTCCTTAGTTAGCATTTCAAGAGCCTCCCACTTAACCTCAACCTACCTCTCTTTTCTCTCCCTTCACTTTCCAGCTGACAGCACAGTCCATTCTCTCTTTCTCACCCCCTCTGTGAGACCTCCACACCTCCCTGAGGCCAGATCATTCATAGCACCTCACAGGCCTTATGGCCTCACCACCCTGACTCAGTTTCCCCCCTCTTTATTGAAGTATAATTGACAAATAAAACTTGTATATATTTAAGGAACACAACATGAGTTTTGATACATTAATACTCTGTGAAATATTTACCACAGTCAAGCTAATTAACATCTCCATCACCTCACATAAACCTTGTGTGTGTGTGTGTGTGTGTGTGTGTGTGTGTGTGTGTGTGTGTGAATGAACACTTAAAGTTCTATTCCCTCAGCAGATTTCAAGTATACAATCCAGGGTTATTAACTAGAATGGTTGCCAGGGGCTGAGGGGTGGGAGAAATGGAGATGTTGGCCAAAGGGCACAAACTTTCAGTTGTGCAGGATGACTAAGTTCTGGCAATTTAATGTACAGCTTGGTGAGTGGCTCGGATAACTGTCTTTTCAACTAGATCCTGTGCCCTTTGGGAAAGCTGTTCCCAAGTCTGGCTAATTATTGGGATCTCCTGGAAAGTTTGATAAAGATACAAAATTTCCAGAGTCCCACACCAGACCAACAGAATTAGAATCTCTGGGAGTGGAGGGGTGCCTGGGTGGCTAAATCGGTTGGGCGTCCGACTTCAGCTTAAGTTATGATCTCACCGTTCTGGAGTTCCAGTTCCGCATTGGACTCTGTGCTGATAGCTCAGAGCCTGGAACCTGACAGCTCAGAGGCTGGAGCCTGTTTTGGATTCTGTGTCTCCCTCTCTGTCTCTGCCCCTCCCCCACTCATGCTCTGTCTCTCTCTCAAAAATAAACGTTTAAAAAATGTTTTTAAAAGAACACCTGGGAATGGAACCCAGAGATCTATAAATTCAAAACAGTGATTCTGACCAGCCTGCAGGCTTGTTTACTACTGCCCACCAAGTCATTCATTTTATGTGAGTCCAGCCCAGTAAGAGCCAGGAAGAGATAGGTCCAGGCAGAGAGGCGAGGTACATGAAGTCTTGCCTTGTACCAGGTCCTGCTCTACAGGCTTTTATTGCTCATTTAATCCCAACCACCTTGAGAAATGAGGGATAGTATTCCCATTACTATAGAGGAGGAAAACATAGTTCACGGATTTCGCCCTTATTCTGAGGAGACAGTTCCCCAGTGGTAATAGATCCAGCTCTGTTGTCTTTTTAGGCTCATATTCTTTTTACTTAACCCATGTTAATTAAATGTTAGTTAAAACAAACAAACATTTATATTTTAGAATCTCCATGCCTTGCTCCCCTACATTCAATCAACTGGCATGACCTATCCACTCTATCTGCTCAACCCTGTTCTTGGACATGTAGACACTGGAAACAACCTTTTAATTCACCTCCTGCCACCTCTCCTCTAATCTATTTTCCCAATTGCAGTCAAATGATCATTTAAACTTGCATATCTACCAAAGCCACTGCTTAGAGTATGTTTCACCAAATATAAGCTTTTCATTATTTCAGAGACAAATATGTGTAATTTTTCCTTATAGCTTCGAGGTTTTCAGACTTGATAACGGTTGTTTAAGCAAGCCTTCCCTGCCTTCTAGACTGCTAATGCAAATGATAATCCATGGGTCAGATTTTATAATGTCTAAGTAGTTTATATACATTGACTTAGAAAGGCAAACCCTAGAAAAATGGGCAGTCTAAGTAATTCACAGATAAGGAGATTAAACTAATAAACAAATGAAAAGAAAATTCCAATCACTAGTGGCCAAAGAAACCAATGATGTCATCCCTCAGATCAGAAAATAAAAAGAGCAGCTATGACACTTATTCTTGGCAGTGATATGAGAAGAAGGGTGAACTCTTATTGACTGCTAGTTCAGATGGGAATTTTGCCAGCCTGTCTGGAAAGGATTTTATAAGTAGGAACTGCAATACTGTTTCTTCTCATTTCCCATTCCTGGGAATGTGTCTATTTTCTAGAATAAAGGACCTTGGAATAAGAGTATTTGCTGTTTCATTGTTTGAATGATAAAAACCTGAAAATTGTGAAGGTCCATCTCTAAAAGAATTGCTGACTTTATTATGGAACATCCACATCAGGGTATAATATGATCCTATAAAAATGTGAATTAAAGCTAAGTTGACCTAGAAGCATTTATTTTATGTATTGATTTACTTTCATTTTTAAAAAATTTTGTTTTTAATGTTTTATTTATTTATTTTGAGTGAGAAAGAGAGGGAGGGACAGACACAGGGGAAGAGAGGGAATCTCAAGCAGGCTCCACACTATCAGTGCAGAACCCAATGTGGGGCCATATCCCAGGAACCATGAGATTCTGGCCTGAGCCGATATGAAGAATCAGACACTCAACAGACTGTCACACAGGTGCCCCACCTAGAAGCATTCATATGAGGAATGGTTGAGTTAGGAAAGCAAGATGCAGAAGCATCATATGATCTTATCTTGTAAAATGTTACCACACAAACACATTCACACAATGCCCTTTCGATGTAGAGTGTGTTTGAGTATGCATATGTATGTGTTTGTCTGTGTGAAGGGGTAAGTGAATGTAATTGTGAATGTGCGTGTCTGTATACAGCCATGTGAACATGGAGAAAATACAGGAGGACTCAAACCAGGTATGGTATAATCATTTATTTACTTACATGAAAGTGTATACATGTGTGTTATGTGAATTACAAAATTTGAAAAAATTAAAGATATAAATCTAATCAGTTCATTCTTCTACCTTAAAATCTGTGTCAATAGCTCAATCCAGAATTGAGTATCTTTTTTAATGTTTATTTATTTTTGATAGAGAGACAGAGTGTGAGCGGAAGAGGAGCAGAAAGAGAAGGAGACACAGAACCCAAAGCAGGCTCCAGGCTCTGCGCTGACAACAGAGCTCAAACATGGAGCTCGAACTCATGAATCGTGAGAGCATGATCTGAGCCAAAGTCAGACGCTAAACTGACTGAGCCACCCTGGTGCCCCCAGAACTGAGAATCTTTAGCCTGGGCTCTAGAGGCCCCTGCTCACCTTTCCACCCTCCTATAAAACAGTTACCTCTTCAGTCTGTGTCACAGACACACATTTACCAGTTCTTTACCTCCATGTGAATCTCTAGTCCCCTATGCTCTGTAGTTCAATGCTCTTCTTTGGCTCTTCACAAGTGCCATTCCCCTATGTCCAGGATAGTTGACCACTTTTCTTTTCTTGGATGGACTTTTACTCATTTTATAGGTCTCAGCTTAAACATCAGTTTCCCAGGGGGCTTTCCCTGAATGTTCAGGGAAATATGTATTCCCATTCCTGAACCCCCTATGTATTCCCATAGTTCTCTGTCCTTACTGAAATTGTATTTTATTATTAACCAAACTTGACTCAGATTTTTCCCACCTGTAGTTTGCTGCTTATATATTATACCCAAATTGGAGAAGAGGCTGTAGCAGGGGCCTGGATCTCATAACTGTGGGGATGTGGAATCACCTCTCCAACCCTCTTGCCACCCCATGGCTCTCTTAGCTGTGAGAAGCCCTTTTAGTTATCCAAGGGAAGGAGTTTATGCTACCATATGGCATTAATGAGGAATGAATGCCTTCCCCAGCATTGTCTCAGATTACTGAGGATCCCTCTGGCCATGTGCATTCCTTGGTGCTCAGGACTCCCCCCTCTGTCCCTCAGAGAGGAACCATGGGCAGAAGAGCCCTAGTTACTGTGACAGATAGCATCCCACACTGTGGTCATGCTCCAGAACTGAGAAGGGGCTACAGTGAAGGTGACTGTAAATTCCAGAATGTATCTGGAGGCAGCAGAGCTGACACTTGCTCTAGCACCGGAGAGCTAACCAAGACAAGTGTGAGGGAGTTAACACAGGGCACATACAAGAGAGGGCAACCATGTTTATTAAGCATTATTTTATTTTCATTGTATGTTTCTAGTTAAAGATATTTATGAGAAAAGAATTCATATAAAGATAAGGGGGAAATATTTAGTTCAGTTCATTTTCAAACTGTAGTGTTTATAAATTATTTTCGTAATAATAGCTGTATTCACAAAAAGCAGGGACAGGAAGAAAAGATTGACTCTGTTTTTTCAGAAGACCCAGGGAAACCAAATTCCCATCCAGGTCATCGCCTTTGGTAAGCTTAGATGAAACATTCAGATTTCAAAATGAAAAGAAAATATGGAAATAAATTACACTACATGGATCTTTGAAACCTGGGGAGTGCTAATTCTTAGAGCTTTTTATATTAAATAACGTGAGCTTCACTGTCCCATTGGCAGTCACCCTGTCCAGTGCAGAGAGGATTGAGTTGGATAATGACTCCCATTAGCACTGGGGGAGTTTTAACATGTAAATCCCTTACAAATGGGAAAGCAAATAGAGAGTGTCTCTGCTTAGTAAATCAACATAACTTGGGTGTTAGATTTTTCTCCTAGAAGAGTGCCCTTGGTGGCTTGTTATCTTTGAAGTAGATGAAGCAGAAGGCTCTCAGCCCACCGTGTTTGCCTGCTTTTTCTTCTCATCAGGATTGTCCAGCATCTGTAGCCTTTTCTCCAGCCTCTGCTTCCATTCTTCTCTGAGCCTGAGGAGAGAAAAAATACAAATGCTTGGTAGTTTTATCTCTATATCTGATGGCCCAATTGAGGTCTTTCATTTTTCCTTATAAAAAATACTTTTGAGAAACAGATGGCTTTTACAAATTAATGAAGAAAAAATAGATAAATGAACAAAGTGTATGAATATGTAGTTTTATAAATTTATTCCTTCCTAAATTGATTCAATATAATGTCAAACAAAATCTCAGCAGGACCTTTTGGTAGATATTGACAAACTGATTCCAAACTTTGTATGGCAAGGCAAAAGAAGTAGGTTAGCCAAAACAATTTTGAAGAAGAAAGTTGGATGACTCATATTACTTGATTCTGTGACTTAATATAAAGCTATCCTAATCAAGACAGTATGGTACTGATAAAGGAACAGACAAATAAATCAATGGAACAGAATAGAGTCCAGAAATAAATACAACCAATTGATTCTTTAAAAAAATTTTTTTTAATGTTTTATTTATTTCTGAGAGAGACAGAGAGAGAGCATGAGCAGGGGAGGGTCAGAGAGAGAGAGAGACACAGAATCTGAAGCAGGCTCCAGGCTCTGAGCTGTCAGCACAGAGCTTGATGCTGGGCTCGAACCCACAAACTGTGAGATCATGACCTGAGCTGATGTTGGACCCTTAATCAACTGAGCCACCCAGGCGCCCCAAAAACCAATTGATTCTTGACAAGAGGTAAAAGCTACTCAATGGAGAAAGGATTTTTTTTAAACAAATTGTGCTGGAGCATCATACATTCATATTTAAAAAATGGACTTTAATCTATACTCCACATCTTATACAAAATTAACTCAAAATGGATCACAGACCTAAATATAAAATGTAAGACTATGTGGTAGAGTCCCCTTCCTAAGAAATGTGGTAAGAAAAGACCTCTAGATAAGGGAAGGCAACCTGGCTATATGCATATGTGATATCCCTCATGACCCTGTTACATGAAACCACCCAATCAGACTATATCTATACATTACCCATATATGGGAGATAAAGAAGTACAAAATGCGTAGACTACACCACATGGTGTTCAGGGATCGGTGTTTCAAGTAGGAACCCAACTGAGACCTTGTCATCATGAATAAAGTTGCTTCCTGGAAAGAAAGGCCAGGTAGAAAGGCCTTGGTGTCACTACTTTCTGTGTAAGAGTCCTGCTACAGCTAAGGCTTCTAGAAGATAACCTCACAAAATAATATATTCATTATTTCCCTTGGATTGGGTGAGAAATTTCTTAGATACAACACATAGGAAAATGAAAATTTGGAGGTATCAGAATTAAAAATTTGCTCTGTGAATGACACCATAAAGAGAATAGGAGGCAAACCATAAATGGAGAAAATATTTGCAAATCACATTTCTGTTAAGGGACTTGTTTCTAGAATAAATAAAGTTCAAATTGAATGATAAGAAAAGAATGTAATGGGCAAAAAATTTGAACAGACATTTTACCAAAGTTGTATGGATGGCAAATAAGCACATAAAAGTAATGCTTAGCATAATTAGGAAAATGCAAATTAAAACACAATGAATTATCATTAACCTCATAGAATGACCAAAAGAGGAAAACAAAAGAACAACGTACCCCCTCAAACCCCTCCATCAAAAAAACTCCAACAAAATTAAAAAAATAAACCCTCACAGCAAAATGCAAATGAAGTATTAGGATGCTTAGTAACTGAAAGTCTCTTACATTGCTGTGGAAGTGCAAAATAGAACAGTCTTTTGGGAAAGTAGTTTGGCATTTACCATATGACCCAGCAATCTCAATTTTCGGTACTGACTCAAGAGAAATGGAAACTTGTGTTCCACAGAAATCTGTATGTAAATGTTTACAGCGGTTGTATTCATAACCACCAAAGCCCAGAAATAACCTAAATGCCCTTCAAATGGGGAGTGGATCACCAAGCTGTGATATAGCTATACAACAGAATAATACTCAGCAATGATAAGGAATAGTCAACTGAAGCACACAACAAGAATTAATCCCAAATACATTTTACTGAGTGAAAAGAGCCAGACTCAAAAGAACACAGAGTATATATTTCACTTATGACACTTTGGATAAAGCAAAATTGTAAGGATGGAGAACACATCAGGGGCTGGAAATGGGCAGAGGAATTGACCATAAAGGAAAAGCATGAGGGGGTTTTTCAGAGTGACAGAACTATGTCATGTCTTCATTGTGGTAATCATATGACTCTTAGCACCTGTCAAAACTCATAAAACTGTACATACATGAAAAGAAGTGCATGGTGCTTGTAAACCAATTAAGAAAAAATCTATAGTAAGATGGGAAGAGGATATAAATAAGCTATACCAGAAGAAGAAATCCAGCTGTTTCCTATACATATAAAAAGATCTCAACCAACCTTATAATTAATTAAATTCATTTTAAAAGAGTTAGATGCTATTTTCACCCATCAGCTTAACAGTGATTAAGAGTTTGACAACACACAGTGTGAGCAACTGTCCCAGCCACACTCCCATACTCAGGGTGGGAGTTTAAATGAATACAACTTCTTTGCAAGACAAGAAGTCAAGAGCTATCAAAATTAGAAAACAAAACTAAACAAAACAAACAACTCTTATCTTTTGACTTAACATTTTAATTTTTAGGAACATATCCCATAATTCTTATCCATATATGCAAAAATGTATGTGCAAGTATTCTTATTATCATATTGTTTGTGAAGCCAGAAAATGAAAAACAACCTAAGTGTTCTTTGATGTGATTGGTTAAATTGTTAACATCATTATAATGAAAAACATTAAAGAAGAACTGAATGTGCTGATATTGAAAAACTTCTAAGTAAGTTAAAAAAGTAAGGTGCAGAAGTATAGTCTCATCTTGCATAAAAATATAGCACACATATTTATTTGCTTGTTCATATTGAAGTTTTTGGGAAAGATATATAAGAAATTGTTGATGTCAGTTTTCCCTGGAAAACAAGTATAGGAGCCCAAGTTAGAAGGAAACTCCCTTCTAATTATATATCCTTTTGTGATACTTGAATTTTAAAAAAATGTGCTTGTGTTAGTTTCATAGGAATAAAAATAATCAAAATGAAAAGATTGGGTAAATACTTTCATTAGTTTGCTAGAGTTGCCATCACAAAATACCACTGACTGGGGGCTTCAACAACAGAAACGTATTTGGTCCCAATTCTGGAGGCTGGAAGTCCAAGATCAAGGTGTCAGTAGATTTGGTTTCTCCCAAAGCCTCTTTCCTTTGCTTGCAGATGGCTTTCTTGCTACACTCTCATGTGACCTTTTCTCTGGGTGTGTGTGCATCCCTGGTATCCCTTTGCACATCTAATCTCCTCTTTGTAAATAAAGCACATCTGTCAGATTGGATTAGGGCCTACACTAAAGGTCTAAAGGTCTCATTTTAACCAAGTCACCTCTTTAAAAGGCCCTATCTCAAAATACAGTCACACTTTGAATGTGTGAGGGTACACAATTCATTTCATAACAATGCTAAAGCAAAGTAGTGCATGCTTACTGCAGGAAGATCAGACTATACAATAAAGAATTTAACAAATTGGATTCCATCTTAATTTTTTCACTCTTATAAATAACCCTAAAATGAGTTATGATAATACTTATTACTCTTTTCATATACCCATCTGTTTTCCTCAGAAAGATACCTGTAGGCAAGTAATTTAGAGTATATAAATATTTTGAAGCTTCCAGGCACCTATTACTAAGTTGGCTTCCATAAAGTTCTCACTTAAAACTCTGCTCAATTATGGGCCCAGGAAAGAATGGAAAGAATCTAGCACGTCAGCCTGTTGTTAGGTATAGTTGTTGCTCAGCCACATTAGCAACCAAGGATTGAAAGTTGAAATATTGAGAGAAGAATGAGGGATATGGAGAATAATGTTAAGACCTACCCCCATTCTATCTCAAACTAAATTAAAGAGATGGCCATAAAAATACAGTTTGCTTCTTTGAAAAATGAAATAAAACATGGAATGGCTGCTCTCTCAGCAGGCAACTGCCTCAGAGGTCCTTGCATGCTATACTTAAGAAGTGATGATTTACTGGGGCACCTGGGCAGCTCAGCTAGTTAAGAGTTGGTGACTCTTGATTTCAGCTCAGGTCATAATTTCCCAGTTCATGGGTCCATGGTTCTGTGCTGACCGCAAGGAGCCTGGTTGAAATCCTTTCTCTCCCTCTCACTCTGCCCCTACCCTGCTTGTGCTCTTTCTCTCAAAATAAATAAACTTAAAAAAAAAAAAAAGAAGTGATGATTTATTGAGCTTCTATGACCTGTTGATATCACCTATTAGTCATTTTCATAAGTTATATTTTTCATTTTGCTTATTCAGTATGCATCTTAGTTTGTAACCAACCTCTCCTGGAGAAGTTTGAAAAAAACTTCTCACAAGCTGCCCTTGTTATAAGCATCTCTGAAAGTTTCTGTAATTAAATCTTTCTCCAAATGTACATGACTCCTGTCACTGAGATCTTTTAAAGTTCACTAATAAGTATTGCAGTCTGTGTATTTCATGGGGCTCAATGGACTTTTTAATATAATGTGGATACATTCATTAATTAAAGGGGCTTTAACTTTTCCTGGGTATGATGGTTGTAAAAATGTACTGCTCAGAGATGCTGATGTGAGGAGCATCAACCTCCTTCCCTTTCTCCTTCCTGGAGGTTTGACCTGTATCATCTCCTGATGACTCTCCTTAACTTCTGTTACAGGCTTTTAGACTTAGGTGTCCATGTAATTTATCATCTAAACTGAGGTACTCTTTTTTAAAGTTTTTTAAACATTTTTATTTATTTACTTTTTAGAGAGAGAGAGAGAGACAGACAGACAGAGAGTGCATGAGAAGGGGAGAGGCAAAGAGAGAGAGAGACAGAGAATCTGAAGCAAGCTCCTTGCTGTCAGCAAGCCTGATGTAGGGCTTAAACCCTAAGATCATGACCTGAGCCGAAGTCAGATGCTCAACCAACGGAGCCACCCAGGCACGCCTTTTTTAAAGTTTATTTATTTGAGAGAGAGAGAGTGATGAAGGGGCAGATAGAGAGGGAGAGAGAGAAAATCCCAAGCAGGCTCCACGCTCTCAGTACAGAGCCCAAGAGGGGCTCGAACTCACGGACTGTGAGATGGTGATCTGAGCTGAAATCAAGAGTCAGATGCTTAACTGACTGAGCCACATCAGTTTAGGAGCCACATGCCCCTAAACGGAGATACTTTTAAAATAAAAGGGATAATTACAATCCATAACTGTAACAAAATGATAGGCGTACACCTGGCCTGCCCCAACAAACCAGGAGGTTTGGTCCTAGTATCTACACTGCATTTGATTTTCCTCGGATTGTCTCCAACCATTATTTGCAAACAGTTTTCAACTTCTTTGGACCATTCCTATTCCTGTTTTGTTACTTCTCTCTGGCCATAGTCAGAGAGAGTAAGGGGCTTTCCGGTTCTGGGGCTCTTCGCCTCACCTCATGATCTCACCTCCAAGGCCTCTGCCAAACACACCCATTACCAAGATAAATTGATTCTCTGAAGCTCTGGCTGAATTCCTCTGTCAGTGAACCTGCAGGCGAGTGTGCTGACAATCATGTCCATGGTAAAACACCTGTTTCCACTCTACCCTGCTTTGCCACAAGTCTTGCTAGTCAGACCTGTGAGAAGAGCATAAAGCAATACTGATTTTGTTCTATCAGCAAAAGTATGGGTGGGAAATAGGTTTTTGTCTTTTAGTGTTCACTCAGAATATTTCTGTATTGCTCAGAGGCTTGAATTTGCCTTTTAAAAGTGGAGAATAGGGGCGCCTGGGTGGCTCAGTCGGTTGAACCTCCGACTTCGGCTCAGGCCATGATCTCACGGTTTGTGGGTTCGAGCCCCACGTCGGGCTCTGTGCTGACAGCTAGTTCAGAGCCTGGAGCCTGTCTTCGGATTCTGTCTCCCTCTCTCTCTGACCCTCCCCTGCTCACGCTGCCACTCTCTCTCTCTCAAAAATAAATAAAACATTTAAAAAATAAATAAATAAATAAATAAATGAAAGTGGAGAACAGAATAAAAAAAAGAGTGTGAGTATTATGTATGTATGTCCAGAGTGTGTACTTATGTATAGAGGAGTATAGGGGACTATAGGCCACAAGGATAGAATAAGGACTTACGGGTTTGTGACATTTACTGGTCTGCAAGTGTATGTTGTAAGGTACACTCTTACTCTGTTTCAAACTATTTGCTCAGATCAGCAGGACTTAAACTAATATTCCAACATTCTGGTTTTTTTAATGAAAATAAATCTGGGATATTTAACAAAAGTAATAACAAAACCACTAGATTTTCATTTGTTGTTTATCAAGTAAAGAAAGACTTTGGGTTTTTTTATTCACAGCTGACAAGGGAAATTGCTCTGGTAAGTGAGACTCCAGAACAGAGGAGCAGACCACAGGAAGCTGCCTCTACTTCCTCACTCCTCAAGATTTTCAATGCAGAGGCCCTGCCCACATCTTTAAATATTTATTTGTGGGACACAATGGTGAAATGTTTCAGGATAAGCACATTTTGAAGATTTATTCTCTTGGTTATAGAAGGGAGAGAAACCTGCACCCACTTGGAAGAGGGTCATTTCTGCGGCATGTGGGAATCTGGAGAATAATTTGTTTAAACATGTATTTTAACATTTAAAACAAAAATCGTTTAATTATTTCTAAATGCATTTGTTCTTTGGACCATTAGCAATTAGTTGCCTTTTTTTATAACCTCATTTTGCCTAATTACAAAATGGCACAGTATCACTGTAGAAACTTCAGAGAAACTAGGAGAGGTTATACACATAAAGTCTGCCATTCTACCAATCAAAACTAACCACTGTTAGTTTTTCTTGTATATACAGGTAGATTGTGTATATATTTTGACAAAAATAAAATGATGTCACAAATTATGCTTTTAATCTCATATCTTGAGGGTTCTGGAGGGGAAGATATGGTATAGGGGTCATGATGGGATCTGGCTCCCAGTGGGCTTATGGGCCAGGACTTGGGGGCAGAAGATGGCAGGAAACACACAACTGATTTTACTCACTCCCCTGGAATCTCCAGGACTGGATGCTCCAATGTGTGACTCTTCTAGCATGCAGAATGGCCCAATTTTGTTTGCTCAATAAATAGGAATATAGCTAGAATGATGGCAGAGCTCTTCTTTGGCTAGGAGAGAAGTTATTTCCCCTCAGCGGTTAATCAGGGTTTTTAGAAGTTAATGTTGGTTCAACACATGTGAACTACATATGTTTTCAGCTCAGCATGATCAGAAACATGGAGACACAGCTCCTCACTGGACAGCAGAATACTTAGCTGCCACTCCACTTGTGAGTGGGTATCTTAGCAAAACTTGGCTGAGCTGTTCCTATTTTAGGGAAAGAGAACCCAGATAGTCTCTGAAAAGTTGAGTTGATCTGTCTGCTCCAAGGCTCTGCACATGTGAGGGCAGGTGCTGGTTCTTTTATCCAAAGTGATGTTCACACATGTGACACATGTTTTTCTCACATAAGTATATGTTCCCCTCTCAGCAGATTCCTTTGACTAAAACAACAAGTTTAGCCAAACAGGGGGATACCATTTTTTCTTCCCCCAAGAATATTAATATATATCTTCCCAAATGTGAGATTTCTCATACTTACATATATCTGTTGACCTAACCTTAAATTTAGGGTTCCTCATGTGCTGGGGATTGCAACAGAGACAAGAAAAGATTTTTTCGGTTTATCAAGATATAAATAATAGAACTTCATTTTGGGTTATATATAAAAACAGCTCATCCTTATTTATAAGTCACTGGTTCTCAATCACAGGTGGCTTTGCCCTCAAGGGAATACTTGGTAATATCAGGAGATATTTTTTGTTGTTACAAGGGGAATGGGAGTCCTACTGAAGTGTAGTGTTTTGAGAGATGTTGCTAAACATCTTACAAAGCACAGGACAGTCCCCTGCCCCCAAAGAATTATCTGGCCCTAAATGGCAATAACGGTAGGTTCAGAAACCCTGGTATAGGTGGTGACAAGACTGAGTAGATGAATTAATCATGTCTTGAATTTTCTATATTTTATAATATTTTGACATCATAAGAAAATTGCTGGCCATGGAAAGGCCCAGAGCTAGCCTTTTCTTAGAGGTATCAAAAGGTCTGCTGTGAGCATGTCAACAAATTCTGAGTCTTTGGCCCACTTCTAACTCCCGCACATGAAGCCATATTTTCCCTGCCTTAAGTCACCCCAGGGCTAGGTGCCAGACAACTAGAGACCCCATCTATAGCTAGAGCCCTCTGGAATTATTCACATTAGACAGCCCTAAACTGTTTACTCTGCTCTGCCTTGCCTTTAGCTCAGAAACTCTAATAAAAGCTTAGATGGTCCCCATGCTTCTGTCTTTTGCTTCCCCAGGCAAGACCTGATGCTTCTAGTGTGGCCCTGCAGGGTATGTGGTGACCCTTCCTCTGAGGCCTGTGAATATAATAAACTTCGTCCAAGTCTTGTTTTCCTCTCTTCTCATGGCTGCACTGGCTTTACCATACCGTATCAAGCATTTGCATTCTTAGAACAGTGATAATAAATAGAACTCAGTCTCCCATATTCACATCTGGTATATTTCTACAGAAATCTAGTTTAAAAAATAGTAGAGAAATAATCCACATACTTTGTCAGGGCGCTCCTTCCCTGACGACCTTCCTCCAGTTCCCTGTAACAAGTCTGTTTGCTGATTTCTTTTTCCCAGAAGGTTTTGAGCTCGTGACAAGTTTCACAGCAGAAGACTTCCCGACGGATATATTGATTGTTCATCCCCTGAAAAACAAATGAAAAAGAAATCCCAGAGCCACTCTAAATTTGGAGTGATGATTTGAATCCAGACCCTTCCATTTATACTTTTTGCGACTAGACAAATTACAGTCACCATGATTTGTTTTCTCAACTATAAATGGAAATAATAAGGTTCTGTCAGAAAATGTAATAAAAACTTTTTGAAATGAGCAGAAAAGGGGCCTGCTGTTTCATTATCTTTGACCTATTTTACAAATCGAAATTATGGAAAAAATATAGTAATGCAAATGCTTCTTGAACATAAAGAGTCAAATAAGTTTTGTCTAGGGGAATGCAGTTGATAGCCATGTGGATACCAAGCAATTTCAATCTACTTCTAATTCATTTCAGTATTCTTGATAGCCTATATCTGTTTGTTTTTTAAAATTCTTTTTGAATTAGTTGTGATACCTTGCCAGTTTTCTCACTAATTAATAAATTGAATGAAATGTTTCACTAATTTATATTATTTATTTTTTATTTATTGTTCATTTTATTTTTATAATAGTTGTGAATTTTACTTAAAAAATGGAGTCTTAACAGTTACTTCACAGTTATGTGATATACATATACATGATATGTATATCAAATGAGATGGTACATGCAGAAGTTCTAAACAATGTATGGCAAATAGGCAATCAACAAATGTTATGCTCTTTCCATCTTTCCTCACAGAATAACAATAACCTCTACCATTTGTTGAGCACATAATGTGTGATAGGCCTTCTATACACAAACATTTGATTTTCTGTACAACTCTCAGAGCTGGGTGATTCCACACTCATTGTTCAGGTGAGGAAACTGAGAAAGAATTTGCCAATATCCTCATAAGTGAACATGGTAGGGTGGGACTTTGAACCTAGGTCTGACCATCTTCAAAGTGGGCTCTCTTGTCTCTGAGACTCTCATCACAAGAAATGGTCACCATATAGTTTGTGTGGCATGTATATGTGTCCCGTGAAAGTGCACATGTTTAATACTCAAAAATGCTTACTTTTTATGTGAACATTGCCCATTTTCCAGATCCTAGTGGCTTTGGCAGGCAGGTAGATGCAAAGGACTGCAGAAAATCTCTGTCTCTACCTGCTGGTGAACACTGGCTCAGACAAGAGTTCTGGCTCTGGCTGGAGATTAGGAAGGACCTGGACCTTACCGTTTTGCTGTTGTTTTGATATCCTGGAACATATAATAGGTGCTCAGTTATTCTTCATTAAATTAAATTAAATGGCCCTTGTCAAACTAATTTTTTTCCTAAAAAAAAGCCTGCCTGCAATTGCCAATGGCCTCAGATGCTGAGGGAAGGTCTGGAAGGTGATTTTTGTACTTTCTTGGTAGGGGATGTGCTCAAATCCTTTTGCCTTCTGTAGTTTCAGGAGGCTAGTGTTGTGCCCAAGAGAGTCTCTCCAGGCTCTCTCTGAGCCCCACTTGAGTTCTGAAGTTCCAGCCCAGAGGTAGCATAGACTCCATCTTCTAAGAGCGTATTTCCCACTTATTTTTTCCCCCAGGCTAATGAAATCAGTGAACAGAATTCTAGTAAATTCTTAGCCACTAGACACTGAAAGAGTTGTTAAAATATATATCAGAATTCATAGAACTAGAGTATGGTGTGTGCTCCTCTAGAAGTTAGTTTCCTATAGATTTAGTTCAAGCTGCAGAGGTGTCTTAAATTTTCTTATTTTCCTCATGTGACTCTGCCTGTATAAATGCTAGATAAGAAAATGGTGCTTGCTTTGAACAAGGAATAAGGCATTGATGCAAACTTTTAACTTAAGTAGACCAAAAGTAATATTGCATGACTTATACACACATTCCTTTATTTAAAAATGCTCCTAAACATTTCAAGTTCATATTAGATATCTGGTATTCAGAGAAAAGATAATTTGGTCAAATAGGTACTCACTGGAATTTTTTTCTTTTCTTGAAATTTACAAGTAACATTTGATTCTAAAGAATTTTTCATAAAAAAAGAAGAGGCCTATGCAGCCACACAGACTGCTCACATCATCGTGTCATTTTACATTTACCCGATTTGGGGGAAAGGTGTGGTTTGAATATGGAAGGAAGATTTATTCTAGCAGCACTGTAGTTGCATAACTATGAGCTAGGTTAAGAGAAGCAGTTGAAAGCAGTGTGGTGTCCATACACTCAAGGAATAAATTAAACCATGGTGAGCCCAAAGGAAATCAGCAGGTTCTGAAGAATCTGATGCATGCTGCCTCTACTTCCCGTTCTCTCCAAAGGGCTGTGACCTTTGGGAAGACTTCAAGAATCATAAATTTACATACTCTCAGTGGTCAGGCAGGTGTCATAAAGGAGTAAGGCTACCGGACCTGCACGACAGAGAGCACTGGGCACTGTGGTCATCTGTAGAGACACATTCATGCACAGAACACTGTACTGCCTGAAGGAAGGATGGCTTCCTTGGTGCAGTCTGAGGGCTCCCTCACTGTGCTTCTTAAGGGATGCATTCTATCTGCAGCTTTGGCCCTGTGGTTTTTTTCTTTAGCCTTTCTCAAAACCTCTTCCCCACGCTCTCCCTGCAAGGCATCCTGAACTATTTCACTTTCTTTCAGCTGGTTTCCTTCCTACTGAGTTTCTCTGTAGGACTTGAGCATAGGATATCATCCTTATTGGTCAGTCCTTCTCTTGCTGTCATCCTTGAAGCCACTAAGATTGGAACTCTTCACCAAGCCTCACTTCACCCAATAGGGGATGTGTGGAGATAGTTATTCTGCCTGCCAACACAACTGCAGTCCCACCTCACTCACCTTCCCTGGTGGTCATACCCTGACCATAATGGCCAGGGAACTGAGAAGGAGGACAGGACTGTTGTCACTATTGTGACTTTGAACAATAGGCCTTTTATGTGTTCTGAGACCCAGTTCTATCATCCACAAAGTGGAAATGAAATATAGTAATATAGATGAAAGTGCCAATTACATTGCCATTCATTTCTGAAATGTTCATATACCAACCCAGTACATGCTTGTCCTTGGGGAGCTCACAATCTGTTGTCCTATCCCTGGTAAGAGATCAAAAGTGTTAACTGAATTTGAACCACCACCTAAATAAGTTCTTGTTGTCTTTAGTTTATGCATGATATTAAATGCTTTGCTCCTTATTGACTCAGCATGTATTTAAGGTTTATTTACCTCTGTTGCTGGGCTGTCAGAATTAGAAGGCCTTAGATCTCAGGGATAAGATGCTTCCCTGCTTGTCTGAGGTCCAATGTTGGACGGCATACAGAGAAGTCTTTAGCAAAAGCTCTTGGTGATGAGTTTCACTCTTACATCATTTAAGATGTTATATTTGGGGATCTTTGTGGTCAGATCCTATCATCATATTCACTGAGTGATGCCCAATGTGCTTAAGAATGTATAAATAAGGCAGGGAACAGAACATTTAAAAAGTCAATTTTTCCCTGGGAGTATTCATGAGAAACCTAAGCACTGACAGTTACTCTATCTGCACCTATAGCTGGTCCAGGCAGAGAAAATCACCCACTATATGCCCTATGTATATGGTGCTGCCCTATAAATGCTCCAATGAGGGTAAAAAGACATTACTTTCCCAAGATGTTCTGAGTGGGATCACGAAGAAGGGAAAGCCTCTGTGATCTCCTGTGGGATAGATTGGTGCTGCTTTTATAGTCACAAAACAGAAATACTATGGAATGTGAGGACAGGTGAACCTGTCAGTTACCTGAAATCTCCTGAGTCACTTTTAAAGATTTTGAGATTAAGTTCCTTTTTTACTGAGGAACTTTTCAAACTCAAATGTCTTCCTTCTATTCTTTTGCAAGTAACTTTTTTTATAAACCCAAGTTTGGATCTTTACATTCATCCTTTCTTAATTTTAGTTTGCTGCTTTCTTCTCATGGTGGTTGCAGATTGGAGAGAAAATTGACTTCTCAAGTAAGCGTGATGCTTCTGATTTATTTTTGTTTGCCCTCTAAACCTGAGATTCTCTAAGAATATAGGATAATTTCTTTTTCTTAATACCAAGAAAGGTGTGTTATTACTCACCCCCATCCCCCCAAGGCTTAAAACTCAGGAGCAGCAAATTTAAATAACTGGCCACTTCTAGTGGCCAGAAGTTCACATAAATGAGTTATTATGGGTATTTTCATAATTAACAGTTAGGAATAGTATCTGCTTCCCCTCCTCTAAAAATATATATCAGATTCACTGCATTTATCCTTTTTGTATCTCTAATTCTGATTTAAAAAAAAACAAACCTGAGTATATAGAGTTATTTCTCTTTAAGATAGACAATAAGGTATTCACAATGGATACTCAGTCCTTATGGGACAAGAAAGAGTGGAAGTGAGTCCAAGGATGGAGTAGGCCTCTCCCCACCAATGGACCAGTAAAACTTGCTGCCACACATTCACCTACTGGCTGATGGGCTGCTCATCTGTGATCTCTGGCTTAGTTTCATACCCTTTATTGAATAGTAACTGAATACCTTTCATCTTCAAGGTGCTTTACATCTTGCATCGAACTCTCACAAACTTATTCATATCCACATTTGACAGAGAAGGTACAAAGAGGCAAATCATTGCCCAAGGTCACTAATGCCCAAGGTCACTTCATCAATGGTGATGGAGCTGAGATTGAAAGTGATGGAGCTGAGATTTAAACACTGCCCAGCTTCAAAGCCTGTGCTTGCCACTGTCACATTACTCAGCCAGGGAGCCAGCCAGCCAGCCAGAAAGATGATAGATCCTGGGAAGAACTGAGTCACATAAGAAGCATGTATCTGGTTTAGGTTGTTTTAAGCAATGTGCAAGTCATCAATTCTTTATCAAGGCAGAACTAGATTAACTTTTTTTCAAGATTATTCCACACTTATTGCATTAAGACAAACTTCCCTTCTCTTTTCTAATACCTTGTCAGAAGTGCCCAATGTTCAGGTTTTTTTTTAATTTTTTTTAATGTTTTATTTATTTCTAGGAGAGAGAGAGAGACAGCGTGAGCAGGGGAGGG